CACTGACTCAGTAGGTTATTGCGAGGAAACGCAAGTGACAGTTTTTGTATATTCCACCCAAAAGTATGGTTTTGGATATTGGTTTTTACAAAAAAAGGGAAAATCTTTGGTTTTTGACAAATGTCGAAGTTGAAAATTTGGTATTTTGCTATCAGTGCCGGAAACTAAAATTTGTCACTTGCGTTTGTTCTTTGGACTTAGACGAACAAAAAAATATGTCGGTCAGGTCAATAAACCAAAATGGGAAACGCACAGGAATTTTTTAACAAACACTTACAAAATTATAAAAAAGCCTGTATCTCAGGAACCGCTTAATATTATGGGATGGGATTTTGGGTGAAATAGTTTTTCATTAGGAGTAAGATTTTGACAGAAAATAAGAAGTTTTGGACCAGCAGTTTCTGAGATCATTTTTTCACCTGTCCCTAGCCTTAAGGGCATAATTTTTATGCCTTTGTTTCACCAGTGCACCCCTACGTGACGCTCCGCGAGTACGAGAGAGACAGATCGACCAAGTTATCCTTCGAAATCAGGCACACACACACACACACACACGCGCACACACACACACACACACACACACACACACACACACGGCACTACCAGGGCAATCTGTGGCGCCGTGCTGCGGCCCCCCAAGACCACCTTCCCGACGCGGGGCGCGGGGGCGTGTGGGCGTGGCGCCTCCCTGCCCCTCGCCAGGCCCTCGGCGGATCTTGGCAGTGGACCAAGCCAAGTTCCCAAGTCGGTATGCACCCCAACCCCCTCGCGGCCCTTGCGGTCATCTTCCAGGAACGCGGCCTGCTAGCGCCGCTAGCGCCCCGCAAGATGGCGGTGGAGCCGGCGGCGCCGTGCCGCGGGGAGGCCGCGCGCTATGCGTGTTCGCGGGGTGCTCCAGACTGATGCCGAGAGTCGTTTTCGTCGCCCCGTCTCTCTCGCACCTATACGGGACGCCCCTTGAGTGCGAGAGAGACAGAGTGACGAACGCGACTCTCAGCCTGCTGGGGGAACAAGCTGGCCGATTCGCGCCGCCCGCGGTAATCACATGTCCGCGTTGGACACGGCCGGGGAGGCAGCCACTGCGAAAGATCGCCCCGCGTCGCCCTGCAGACCGATGAGCGGGAGAGAGACAGCGACGAGAACGATCCTCGGGATCAGTCTGCTGCTTATGGCCATGGGAACGCGGGCGCGCTCTCGAATCGCGGCCGTGCTGCGCGTTGCCGCGCGTTCCGCGACGACACGCTTCCGGGAAGAGGTTCCGGGCGTTCCGGGACGCGGGGAGGGACGCCGCGGTGACGGACATGACTCGTGCGAAGCGCGAGGCACTCCACACTGTCAGAAAAAAAGTCCGTAAATTTACGGAGAAAGTTACTCTAATTTTGGGAATGGAGGCTCCGTAAATTTTCCATATTTTTACGGAGATTCTCCATATTTTTACGGAGATTTTCCGCATTTTTACGGAGATGAACCGCATTTTTGCAGAAATAAACGCATTTTAACGGTTTACTTCCCTCCATCCACCTTCGATGTTAATGCAAACAGTGTCCTTTTAGACGAAAGTGATATTCTCCAAAACTGTTTGAGGATCCACTTGACCACATGCCATTAGGATCGGATAAATGGCCGGAACCCCAAAGGCGAGGTCGCTTTAGGGAAGGCGTACTCTTGGAACACCTAATCAGTTGGTCACCCAACCCATCGATAACGTGAATTAGTCTGTTCTTTTTGATAAGTAAGGCTTCTATTTCATTTATATACATAACTTCCATATTTTTACGGAGAAAATCCATAATTCAAAAAAACGGAGATCTCCGTTAAAAAAAAGGACAGTCTCCGTTAAATTTCCGTATTTTTACGGAGTTTTCTGACAGTGCACGACGTCCACGACCCCGCACCCCCCGCCCAGCGTAGCGGGACCCCTGGTCTCGCCCGATGCTTCGTGTACGAAACGATCACTGATCACTCGCCGGCTGACGTGAGGTTGGTGTTTGGATTTTTGTCTTGTTTCGTTTTAGTTTGGTTTGGTTTCGTATTTCTGCTGTGCTGATTTGTTTGGTTTCACTTTCATTTGGATCGTTTGGTTTTCTTTCCTGTCGTTTTGTTTTCTGTAGGAAAGAGACACTTTTTTGATGAGTATCGTTTTGGTCCCTTTCCTAATTTCCGTTTTTTTCTCGACAGTTTGTGAAACTTTGCGATAGCAACACGACCTGCGCAAAGTCGCGGCTCATCCTGGATTCTCACGCCTCCCCCTTGCTGCCGAAAACAGGCAGCGATCGCTGTAATGCTGTAACGCTCTCCGACGCGCGAAATCGGTTCGGGACGCTCCACGTCGAGGTCGCGGGGGGCGTGGTGGTCCGGCGCGACACCCGCTTGCACACTGATTCCGAAGAATCATTTCGTCGCTCTGTCTCTCTCGCACTCATGGTGCGTCTCGGAGCGGTGCGAGAGAGACAGAGCGACGAAATGATTCTTCGGAATCAGACGCGGCAGAGCACGCGTCTCGTCTACGAGACACGAGAACGCCGTCAGACGCATATGCCTCGTCGCTTGACACGCTAACGCGACTCGGCAGTCAGTGTCTGTTGTTGTTGTTTTTGTTTTGTTGTTGACTTTCGCACTGTTTTTCAGGCGCGAAACAGACCAAATCCTAGTCTGCCTCCCTCGGTCAGTACATTCAGAGCAGGTCACATGTTTAGCAGCGTTCCGCACATTTGCATCACATTTACGTAGCTTAGCGTTTGCCGCGATGACCCCTGCCACTGGACATCCCCTAACCACCGCGCTCGCACACACGCATACACACGCGCGCGCGCGCACACACACACACACACACACACCTACACACACACACACACACACACACACACACACACACACACACACATATACACATACACATACACACGCACGCACACGCACACATTCATTCATACACACGCAATCGCATACGCACTCGCGTAAACGTAAAACATGTGTGAGCGCGCCGGGGGCAGACGGCGGTCCGAGCTAAATGGTTCGCGGTGCTTGGGAAAAGGTTCACGGTCCGTTTGCAGCCGTCTAACGCCGTATAAATGAGTTAGCGCGAATTACGCACAAAAAAGCATATGCAAGAGGCACGGAAAAAACGGGACCGGATGAAAAGAGGGTGTGACTACTTTTTATTTTTTGGAGCCCGCGAAAAAATGCAGGGTTTGGCTTGGCGCTGGAATGATTGAACTTCTGTCACTAGTGCAAAATCCGAGTTAGCTTACGAATCGTAAGTTACGATGAACTTACGTACGCCTGCGACGTACACTAACGAAAAGAAACATGAATTGGGCTTAAAATATCATTCAACATGGATTCAGCGTCCCAAAGTTGTCGATTTTGATGTTACGAAGGAAATCTTCCACATCTGTGTGATTCTGAATAACGATGCGCGACATGGGGATGGCACCCCCTCATCGTGTCCTTGAAAATAACACATCGATCCTGATTGGTCCCTATTCCCTTCTTCCTTCCGATCCAATCATCAAATAGCAGGCCTATTGCTCCCCTTCCATGGTTCCATCGCCACCCAGCGCGAGTGAGAGAAAGGGAGAGGTGGACAGACCGACCGACACACAGCTTCTGCGTCTCTCTCTCTCTCTCTCTCTCTCTCTCTCTCTCTCTCTCTCTCTCTCTCTCTCTCTCTCTCTCTCTCTTTCCAACCCGCAGGCAAAGTTTCGCGGTTTCCTCAAAGTAAGCAGCCAGGCAGGCGGGCAGGCTCGGCGCCGCGCTGTCACTGATCGCTTTTGCAAGGCCCCGCCTCCACTCCATTGGGTTATCGCGCGCGGATCGCTGCTGCTGGGCGGGACGCCCGGGACGGGGCCCCGGACGGGGCGAGAGCGGCGCGATGATATTCTGCTAGAGTTCACAGCAATGTTTTCGCCGCGGTTTCCCGGACGAATTTGGCGCGAGACGAGGCGAAGACGCGGCGTGAGGAGCACTGTGAAAATTTGAGTCGTCACTTGATGACAATTTCAAGGCTAATTTTCCTTACAACAATGTCATCAAAACAATTGATGACATTGTTGTCACCCCCATGCAATAAGTATAGGAGCTTTCATGAAAATGTCATCAATTTGTGATGAGACTGTCATCATTTGAGAGTGATGAAAGTATCATCCACGTTTTTGTCATAAATAAATTTTCACAGTGAGGTAGGGCAGGCCTGGTTCGTCGTCTTCTTTGCCACTAGAACGGCTGTAAAAAGTCTACGAAATGCAAAGGTTTTTTAAAATGTATGAAGAGTTTCTTCGTGTTACGAAGAAAATCCTTCGTAATACGAAGCATTCATGCATACTACGAAGCATTTCTTCGTACATAATACGAAGCAATTCTTCAATGCGTTCATTGCCTTCGCAGTTATGAAACGGATAGACTTTTTCGAGTGTGGTGGTGAGCGCCGACTTGCCTCCCCGAGTTGGGCTCGCCGGGCTTCGTGCGTCACAGAACAGCGGACTGATCCGCCGTTTTAATAATTAATAATTATCGGGGGAAAGTTGGTGGCGGCCGGCCGAGCGATTCGGAAGAGCCGTTTCGTCGCTCTGTCTCTGTCGCACTCGTGGGGCTCTCCGTAAGGGTGCGAGAGAGACAGAGCGAAGGCCGAACCGCCGGCCGATACTTGTTCGAGTTGAGCGGCGCGCGTCGCTCCTCGTGATTATCGGCGCTGCACTGTAAACACTCTGAAACGAACGCGAAATAAACGCGCTTCGCGACGAAGATGTGATCACGCGATCAGACTGTCCGACACCGTAAAACCATGCGGCCTCGGGGTCTTCTTATGCCAGTCATACCAACAGCAAACAACAAACAAAAAGTTTCGCTACCCGGGCGGAAGGATCAGTAGTACAACAACTACAGTCTTGCGTCTGCTGGGAACAAAATAAGTTATCGGACTATGTACTTGAGAAAAAAAAGTAAGTCATTGGTTATGAGTCTCAAATTTCAGGTTATCACCCCTTAATCGAAATACATAGGGAAAATTTCCTAATGCTTCTAAAGAACACAAGATAAAGGCCTTTAAGCATCGGTAGACCCCGGTAGAAAAATAAACTGCGGCATAGTCTTGGGTGATGTCACGTCACACACTAAATGCTTATGGACTTTATCGGACTTCATGTCCATAACTATGGCCGTTTTTGTACATACAGAACTTATGTACAAATTTGTACATAAATTAGGTACAATGTTTTACATACTTAAGCACAATATGGAAATATTGTTCCTAATTTATGTACAAATTTGTACATAAGTTCTGTATGTACAAAAACGGCCATAGCTATGGACAATAAAGTACATAAGACATTTAGCATGCACTCGAAGTTCCATAGCACAGCGGATCCCAATGATACTCGTATGGACGTGAGAGATTCACTAACTGCATCCCCCCTTCTCTCTCTCTCTCTCTCTCTCTCTCTCTCTCTCTCTCTCTCTCTCTCTCTCTCTCTCTCTCTCTCTCTCTCTCTCTCTCTCTCCCACCCCCACCCCCACCCCCTGCCGATGTGCTATCTGGCAGACTTTATCGCGATGAGTAATGGCGGACGGCTCATTGACTGCATTAAACTAATTCCCCTTTCCTTTGTCTTACAGTGTTGCGCTCATCTTGAACCCTTTTGTCGCTGATTTATGTCCGGTTTTATCTGAATTCCGCTTTTTGGACGCGTCGCCGCGCCTCGCCAACGCCCTCCGAACGGCGGTTTCGTCGCCGCGTCTCTCTCGCACGCGTGGCGCGTCCCTGTGGTGCGAGAGAGACGAAGCACTCTGCCGGCCGGCCGGGCCGGGCAGGGAAGACCCGCGGCCCTTCTGGTGCAGGCGCGGGGTCGAAGGTCCAGGGCCCTAATTGAATGCAGCCTCGAAAAAAAAAAGAACAACAACGGAAAGAAGACGGAAAAAACAAGACGGATTGTGTGCTTCGCAACCCTTTTCTTGCTTCGAAGAGTTCGGGTAAAGTGGCTGTGTGGCCTGGCCAGTCACGCACTTTGTTGAGATTAGAAAAATAAGTGGCCCGCTAATCGGTAGGCAAGTCCTTTTCGTGCGGGAGGAACGGAGGAAGAGCGCCAACCGACTTCGAGCTCAGCCCGCAGTGGGCCAGAAGACTGGAGGAGGCGGTCGAAATCCTGTGCGGGTTTTGAACTCCATAGTCGCTAAATGGGACTCAAACCGAACGGGTGACCCCACCAATGGACTGCTCTCCGAACGAGAAACCCATTGGTGGGGTCATACGTTTGGTTCGAGTCCTGTTTAGCGACTCTGGAGCTCAAAACGGGTCTAGAGTTTTGGCCACCGGCGTCGGTCTTCTGGCCCACTGCGGCCCGCCGCACAACGACCAGAGTCTAACAATAATAACAATAACAACAATTCGCCCAGCAAATAAATGAGAGGACCAAATTGAGCGACGCCGGAAACCGGACGCCCTGCGTGCCCCGGCGCATCCGGTTGTGCACAATACCGAAACACGGCCGCATACACCCCTGGCTCGCTGTCCGCCCGTCCGCCCGACGCCTGCAGACTCTTTCCGAGAGGCGTTTTCGTCGCTCCGTCTCTCTCGCACTCATGGAGCGTTCCGTTTCGGTGCGAGAGAGACGGAGCGACGAAAACGACTCTCGGAATCAGTCTTCTGGCGCTGCTGCTGGAAAGAGACGGAAAATGGCACCCCCGCCCGCCCCGCCACCATCACATGGGTCACGTGGGTCACATGGGGGCCCAGGCCCAGGACGGCGCTGGCCCGGCCGGGGCCAGAGGGAGCCCTAGCTTATTATACAGGTCTTTGTGGTGGCCGGGCCGGGCCGGGCCGGGGTTATCCATTTCATTGCACTTACCATTTCGCCCCGAAAGCGAATTCCGTCGTCGTGGTCGCTCGTCCCCTCCTCCGCCATTTCTGCCAGTTTTGCCGCGGACATATCGTCCTGACGGTGGAGTGGTCCAGCGGGTCGTGAAGCTGTTCAGACTTTCATACGTTCGCTGTCGGTATCAAGTCGTTCCCGCTCCCGGTGAGAGCGCCCGAGGAAATCTTGGCTCAAGAAAGCCCTCTTCGGTGGGTCCTATTCAAAAAGTGCGATCTTCAAACGACGTGCAAAGAATAAAGTTCGATCTCCTACGCCTGGCCATAGGACATCGATCTGTCTGAGCGCGTCGTTAGGAGATCGCACTTTTTGAACAGGACCCATCGACTTTGGAGTTTGCTTGGCGACCTGCGGCAGTGTAGCGGGGAAGGGCTGCGACCACACCGTCGGCACGCCGCCACTGCCAAATAAATGCACAAAGAAAAATTGCATTAGCCTTCTTCTTCTTCTTCTTCTTCTTCTTCTTCTTCTTCTTCTTCTTCTTCTTCTTCTTCTTCTTCTTCTTCTTCTTCTTCTTCTTTTTCTTAGAGCAACGACATCCCCTTATTTTCCTCCCGTACAAACACAAACGCACGAACACACACGCACAAGAACACCAGCGCACACACATTAATACACACAACACACACACATGAACACCAACACACGCACATGCAGGCAGGGATGACCTCCAGCAAATCGCAGCAAATGGTATTGGGTATTACGAAGGGCCGCCGCCTCTCCGAAAATTAATTCATAAGCCCTGTCCTGCCAGTGCTCGACACTTTGAGAGACGGTGAGAGGGGCGGCGGGGAGGAGAGAGAGAGAGAGAGAGAGAGAGAGAGAAAGAGAGAGAGAGAGAGAGAGAGAGAGAGAGAGAGAGAGAGAGAGAGAGAGAGGAGGGGGTGGGTCTAATTCCTGTGCGCGAACCACCATAATTCGTCGTGGTGCGCTTCACTCGTCAGACTGCTGCTGGCGACACGATTCCGAACAGGGGTGCGGTGGTTGCGGCGTTTGGTCGCTCTGTCTGTCTCGCCCGGGGCCTCCCGTACAGGAGTGCGAGAGAGACAGTGCGACGAAACGCTGCCGCGGAATCGCTGTTCGGCGGCGTGGTGAAAACACGCGCCGATACAAAGCAACGCGGCACCCCGCCCCCTTTAACGAGTCCCTGATGAACTTTTCGCGGCATCCCCTCGGCCGATGTGTGGGGTGGGGGTGGGGGGGGGGGGGGGGGGGGGGGTCGAAGTGGCCCGAGCGGCTGGCTCCGTGTCCCTCTTGTTTATGGCAACCGGTCGAGCGCTGTCCGCGAGAATGTGGCGTCTTTCTGTTTGTCTTGCCGGCCCAGATATCTGGGTTATTTCATCCACATACTGTATGACCAGCGTCCAGGGCAAGGCCGGCGAGGCCAGGGGGTGGTGGCGGGACTGGCCGTTGGGGGCAGGGGCTGGAGGCGGGGGATTGGCCTCTTGGTCGGCCCTCGCACACAATCCGCAGCGGCCCCGCACCCAGCAGCTCGGAGAGGAAAATTTTTCTCTCCTATGCGGGCTGACAAATCTGGCATTTAATCGTATGAAATATTCCCGATCCTCGATCCCAGCGGCTCCTCGCTGTCGGCGAGCGCGGCGCAGCGCGGCACGATAAGCATATGGGGTGCGGAGGGGGCGACGTCGACGGCCTCGACGACGTGCGCGCTGTAGACTGACTCCCGGAGTCGTCGCCCTGTCTCTCTCGCACCTTTACGGGACGCGCCGCGAGTGCGAGAGAGAGAGAGATGGAAAACGACTCTCGGAATCAGTCTGCTGCGGTGCTGGTTTTATAGGCCGGGATTATTTTGGAGCAGAAAACGACGTCGTCTTTAAATGGCGAAATCAGAGTGGAGATGAGCGGCGGGCGACTGGCCGAGGTGACACCCCTCATAACGCGTCCGCTGGGGCGGGGCGGGGCGGGGCGGGGCGGGGCGGGGCGGGGCGGGGCGGGGCGGGGCGGGGCGGGGCGGGGACGCTTGACGACGCTTACATATTTCCCGGGACGCCTTCCGTAATAGGTCCGGCGGACGCCGAGACGAAATTGCCCGGCTCAATTTCAAAGAGTGAATCCGGGCGCGCGATGTGGAGGAGCGGCACGGGGTGGGGGGTGAGGTTGTGAGTGCGGATTGCCCCACACTGTGTGTGTGTGTGATGGTACACCCGCGAGCGGGGGTGTATGTGTAAGTAGAGTGTGTGTTAGTGTGCGCGTGGAGGGGAAGGTGCTGACATGTGGTCGGTTCTGGCCGCTCAACGATAACAGATTTCCGCCGGGTTCGGCAAAGGAGCAGCGCAAGACGGAGTCCGCGGAGAAGAGCGGGCAATGGAGGAGGTGGAGGAAAGGCCATGAGCAGCGCGTCATGGCGGAAGAGAACCTTCTTTTGGCTCGACAAAAAAGGCGGCTGGTGCGGCGGTTTAAATGGGAAATGTGAAGAGAGGGAAAAAGCGACGGGACGGGGTATTCGAACCCGCGCCCGGTCGGCGCGGTCATCTCGGCGTTGTTCACGTCCACCCCGCCTCGCCCCGCCTCGCCCCTCCGCGATGAGTGCAGGGTGGCGGGCCAGCCGGGGCGGCCAGGCCAAGCAGGGCAAGCAGGGCAATGAAAGATAATAGTGGCAGTAAATCAACTCACCGAGAATCCGGTCCGGCCCGTGCAGTGCGGGCGCGTGCCGCGTAACCCTAATCTCTGCACGTTGTCGCCGTCCTCGCTGTCCTCGTCGACACCGTCCTCCTCATCCTCGTCGTCCTCGCCATCGTCGTCCTCCTCATCCTCGCAGTCGTCGCCGTCCTCCTCCACGCCGTCCTCGTCGCCGTCCTCGTCATCCTCGCCGTCATCGACGCTGTCCTCCTCATCCTCGTCGTTTTTGCCGTCGTCGTCGCCGTCCTCCCCATCCTCGCGGTCGTCCTCGACATCGTCGTCGCCGTGCTCCTCATCCTCGCCATCCTCGTCGTCCTCGCTGTTCTCGCTCGTCATCCTCCCCATCGTAGTCGTCCTTGCCAACACTCCTTGCCGCACGCCTAGTACTTTGCCGATGAAATTTTGCGACGCAGCCTCCGAGTGTTTGGCAAATTTAATGTCAATCCCCGTTCGGCGCGGGTGAGGCCTCGGCCCGGCGATACTCCCCTGCAACAAGCAGCTATCTACGCCCACTGTCTCGATAACCGACTATCTACGGGCGCTCTCCCGAC